CGGAGGACTTGGAGGGTGGCCCAAGCTTCTCACGTCGGTTTCCCCAACATGTCCCTCATCGACCCTCACCTGCATCCACAAAAGCTGGCAACAGCTTTTTCTGGGTTTCCATCCGTTTTCTGTCGCCGCCGGGCCCGCTGCCAGATTTCTTGACAGGAAACAAAAAGATCCACTGCCCGCGCCCATCCCGTCCTCGTCGCGAGTGGGATTTAGCATTGAACCTGACTCGTTTTACATACGTCAAGCATAAGGCTCAATTGGAGATCCCCAGCAAGCAGCAACCACGAACCCCATTCTCGAGATTCCTTGCTTGGAAACCACCACAGCCCTACCGCGATATCCACGTCAACTACCTTACGCATTTCGCATCGTCTCTTCGCGACAAAACCACATACCCAACAGTCAGCCATGGCTTCGCTAACAGCAGCTTGTCGCATCTCTGCCAGAATGGCAAGGCAGTCTGTCAGAGGTCGGTTCCCTCCGTCACCTGCCCGTCAAACATGTTCCCTGCTTTGGGTGGTCTGGGTTTAAAAGTCATCACGTACTGACTGGGGGAAACATGTCGTGTAAACAGGTTTCCGTACCTCTGCCGCTGCTCTCGCCGCTCAAAACTTTACCATGCCTGCTCTTTCGCCGACAATGACGGAGGGCAACATTGCGACCTGGAGGGTGAAGGAGGGCGACAAGTTCTCTGCCGGTGATGTGTTGTTGGAGATCGAAACCGACAAGGCTACCATGGACGTCGAGGCACAGGATGATGGTATCATGGTCAAGATCATGCAGACCGATGGTGCCAAGGGTGTTCCTGTCGGTACTCGGATAGCAGTCATTGCGGAGGAAGGAGACGACATTAGCTCTCTCGAGATCCCGGCCGATGCGCCCCACAGTCCAAGCCAGCCGAGTCAGCACCTTCGGCACCTCCCCCACCGACCACCGCGGACCAGTCCAACGTTGCCGTTCCCGAATCCGCCCCTCAGAAGTCCTCGTCCAAGTCGGTCCCCAAGGTCCCGAGCAGGCAATACCCCCTCTATCCTTCCGTCGCCCATCTGCTCAAGATCAACGGCGTTGATGCCGATGTCGTTAAGGACATCATCCCAACCGGCCCCGGTGGTCGTCTGCTGAAGGGTGACGTTCTTGCCTACCTTGGCAAGATCAATGCCCAGACTCCGGCCACCGTCTCCGAGAGGTTCGAGAAGCAGTCGCATCTTGACCTTAGCAACATCAAGGTTGCCAAGAGCACCGAGGCCATCAAAGCCACCACCGAGAAGGCTCAGTCCAAGAAGCTGGATACCCCTGCTCCTCCTCCCGTAGCCGTTGTTACCGCTCCTATCTCTCTGTCTGCCGTCATTGAGGTTCAGAAGAAGGTCCACCAGACCATCGGCGTCTTCCTCCCTCTTTCGACCTTTATTGCCCGGGCCACCGAGATCGCCAACCAGAAGCTCCCCCTTCCAGCGAACTACCAGCCTACCGCCGATGAGCTCTTTGACCAGGTTCTCGGTCTCGACAAGGTCAAGCGCAAGGAATCCCGCGGCTCTTATACTCCCACATTTGGCTCATTCGTGGCCCCTCAGCGGGCGCAGCGCAAGGCCGATATTCTTGACATTCTTGCCGGCCCCTCCAAGCCCGTCGCCGCTTCCAAGCCCGCCACTCCCGGTCTTACCACCTCTGGGCCCAACGTTTTCAGCCTGCAGGTTCCCAAGTCGGAAGAGAAGAGGGCCCAGGCATTCCTTTCTAAGATGAAGCTTGTTCTGGAGCAGGAGGCTGACAAGCTTGTGCGGGCATAAACATTCTAATGATCTGTTTGTTCTTTATTCGCTTCATGCGCTCCCTCATCAGCTTTTTATAGAGAGGGGATAAAATGCACAAAATGCACATGGGGTTTATCTGTTTGACATATGTTGGTATTGGATTGTATGGAGTAACTGTTAGCACTAGACTTCCACTTTTTATGGCTTCATGATCTACATTCTCTTCTCATAATGCTCTGGCGGAGAACACTCGGCTGCGTGCGTACGTCCCGACCGCTTGTCTTCACATTTTAGCGATAGAAGGGCTGAGATAAAATTGCATGTGGTTGGCATGCTTTGTTTCGCTCATGAGCTCTACGCTCAGTCGTGCAGTTATCAGCTTGTATGGGCCGGAGATAGTTGGCAGACTTAGGGCATGTTCTGACCATTTCATTAACTCGTACGCCCAAATGCTGTACATCTCTTGTCAATGAGCAGGAAGACTGACTTGGCCTTCAAAAGTCATCTGCCAAAATCTCGAGATTCAAGAAGGGAAAATCCCAGTTCTAGACCGATCGCAATCGAGAATGAAAGCTAGGTGCCCCGCCACACAGCGATGAGTTATATGGTGTGTTCGTCACATGGAAGCCGTCATGGGAGAGATCATCTACGTTCGGATACATTTTCCAGGGAATGTGACTAGTTTATATTATGTCAAAAAAAGTTTCTTGACGTGAATGACAACTTGTAAGACTTTCTGGGACTCATAACGTTCGCCATGGAGCTCTCCCAGATGAAAGAACTAGCTTTTTCGACTGTTCTCGTCCCAGGTTTGTCGCTATTGTCTTGCTCGTGAGCTGGAAATTCAAAGAGCATTTATTTCACGCTTATCAAAGATAAAAAAAACTGTGCGCCATACATCGAAACATTTTGCCTCTGCAACCTGAAATGGACAGTCAACCTTATGAAACCCATAGAGTTATAGGTAACTGAACCCTTCCAACCGGGTGATTGTAGCTCTCTGGTCGTCTCTCCAGCCAGTCTCTCCTCACAGGCCCACAATACCCAGCATCTCTCGCAGAGAGCCTACAACATCGTGGCATTACTTGACCATGCACAAGTACAGAACTACTATATTATGAAGCACGCGTCAGCACATGGTCAACGCTATTAAGAAGGGGACCATGAATCTAGACCTCATATCAGCTTACAAAATTCACTCATTCATCATGTATCCCAAAACAGAGACGAAGATAAGGTATGTAACCGTTCCCATGAGAAGTCTTACTTTTGAACACCAACACCAAGTAGGACTCGGACTATCTTACCTTTCTATCTCGATATAGTATCTATGGCGCCAGGATCGTCTCAACGACAGCAAGCAAGGACTTTCCTTACTCCGTGTATACTATAGATGTATACAGCAACATCTGGGCAACCGCTTTTGAGAGTTGATGTGGCGTGTACTCAAAGACAAAATACGGTAGGTAGGTAGAGGGAATGTACTCACAACCGACTTCATGTTAGAGAGAATCTATGAGTGGACGACATCCTACCACGATTCCAAGGCATCAAGGGACTTCAGGGTCCCCCTCATTCCGGGCCCGGACCCGGATATAGCCTCAAGTCTCAAATCTTGAAACCGGTGAAGCCAGCACGTAGTTCGCCTCCTACATAATGTTGGTCTGACATAATCAGAGGATGAAATCATTTCTCTGGTACACTTACTAGCCAAACACATACTCCCCACATCCATGGAGAGAAAAAGCCAAAGATTTTGTCTCTGTGTGCCCACCATGTACCCTCACACTGTATAGAAAGCAATGGCATGGCATACATACATACACCTCAATCAAGCTCGAGCCGGAACAGAACATATATACCCTCCCATCAGCACCACCAATCAAGTCTTACATACTTCCCATTTCTTGCCTCCAGTCTCGCCCCATATTCTTCATCAAAGCCAGCCCAGACCGTTGACTGATTGATATCCCAATGCCGACTCACCGGCTTCAACAACATGAACTGCGGCTGTCTTCGGGTCCGGACCCGTAGGGCCCTTGGTGGCTTGATGCCTTGACCGGTTTGCTCTTACCGTTGCGTTATCTGATGGTCAGATGGGGCGAGTATTGGAAGGAGATACATACATACATACATACATACATACGATACATACATACATACATACATACATATACACGAGATATTTTCTAAATGCGTGTGATGCAGATTGTGGGATGTGTGTGAGCGGACGGGGTTGAGGGGATACTGAAGTGAGTGAGGGGAGTGAGGCAGTGAGTGGGAGAACTAACCTTTTTGTTTGGCAACGGACCTTTCGGCTTTTTGTTGCTCGAGGTGAGGCGGATGATGATAATGTTGTGGAACGACTGCACGGTTAAAACCCGGAAGATGAATTCGAGTTAAAGACTCCAATGTCGCTCTGCTTTAGGTTGATGCCCCCAGCTTGTCGGTGGTTCTTTCCTTCTACGACTTGATCATGGTTGTGGCAAGTGCCCTTTGAGGAGCATTTTTGTGTCTTACTAAGGTATGTGGAAGTTCCCTTCCTTCCCGTCCCAATTCCCAGGGGCATTTCTACCCCCGGTCTTTCCCACCGCCTTGCTTGCTTGGTAGATCGTGCCTGCCCCCTTCTCACTCACAACTACGACCATCGGTGATTTGAATCAGTCTCAGGTCCCCGCAACTTTGTGCCCCCTCCTGATCTTGAACTGAGCGCGGCAACAACCTGCCTCATAAAGGTTTAAAGTTCTTCAAACTGGATTTGACCAGGCTCAAATGTGCAACTGGATTGAAACAGATTGAACACCAAGGGCCGCGCGGCGTGTCTTAGACACTCGTGGATAACGAAACTCTCCAAAGAAGGCATCTTGCCCCGATATACTGGGGACCAAAATCTAAAGAGCGACGGTATATGTCCCCAATTTTTAGTCCAGCAGGACTGGAGTATGTATCCTACCCCAGCAAAGTTCCAAATCTTAGATGGATAACCAAGACCATCCACGCTGGAGAATTTTAGAATCCGGTAGGTAGGTCGGGTGTCATCGAAACCAAAGCTGTGACACAAATCCACAACAGAACAGGCAGTATGTCGGCGCATAAATATACGTCGTACACACCTACCCGGGGTACCCTATCCGATCCGACCGGGGGCATATCACACAGGTGTCAAATGAACCACAACAGCAACAGGATGAGGCGAGATCGGATGAGATAAGGCCATACTTGGTTCATTATCAGACAACCAACCGTTGCCCCCGGATATGTCGGTGATGTCAGAAGAAGCTTTGGAGACTCTTGACTGGGATTGGTATGTGTATAAACTGTGTATGGTACGGGTTTTCTTTGTGACTCCGAGGGGCACGTGCTAGGATACGTATCTTAACCATTGACCTTGGGGTATGCTCGGATAGTGTCGAAGATGGTGGGCAGAGAAAAGGACGAGATGAAGAACGAAATCGAGCAAGGGAGGACGGACTTTGAAGCTGGTCTCGTCCAGAGCATTGTTGAAGTTGTAGTTACGCAACTAACGCAAGGCAGTCATCTCACTAGGGTGGGTATCGCAGCAGTAGCCTTATGTGCGTAATGTAGAATGAAGTGTGATATCTCGAGGTGAGGTGAGATGTGTGTAAGTGTTAGCCTGTAAGTACCCTCTGTATAACTTATTTCTTCACTTTGTCGTACAATGCCGTGTGGGTGTTGCCTTTTTGTCGTCCCGTCCATGGCAAACCGAAAGATGTCCGACTTCGGCAACCCGGCAGTATGTGTTTTCTTTCCACCACCATCTGTGATGTCGTCGATACCCTATCCATTGTGAAACGTGAGCCTTTGTCACTTGACCATTTCAATGGCGGAAGGGTGCGCGGGAAGAAGCGAGACAGCGTCGTCTTTGTTCGGTTTGGAATGAGCAACCTTGCCTCGCCTTACCTCACTCTCAGCCTGCGGTCCCATGTCAACGATCAATGTAGGCATGTACAGTATTGACCTGACAAAAAGATCAAGGTGATCGAGCCAGCCACTCCCAGTGATCGTACTATATGGAAGTGGGATCCAGGGAAAGGCTTTCCACCATCGGCATATTGTTTGAAATCTGGGAACTTTTCCCTATCTGCCTCCGCAATACATACGAATGTGAAAGAAAAAGGCTCTATGGAGCTGCAACCGCGTTCCTATAGTCCTATCATTCGATACATATGATCATGTGTATGCGAGCAAAAAGGTCTCCGCGTTGATGTGTCAAGAGCCTTGTCCGGCAGATTTCGATAGCTGGTGAACCAGATGATCGCTCACGTCGGGAGAGTCTAGATCTCCTCATAAAGTCTGTTTCTCATGTCGTAATATTTCAGACTCTGCACCTGTTATTTCACTGTCAGCACGGCCATGGCTAAGATGTGTCACGGAAAAAAAGCACGCAGATAAACAGGAAAGACGGGAGGAATGGAGCATGGAACGACATGAGAAAAGAAGACATCCGGACGAAGTTGAGGCTCCCATGACCCCGGAGCCCCGTCCTCGCCCGTACCCCACTACAATGGTCCGTGCACCTCGAGATGCATTAACTCAAAAGTGTGCTAGCGCAATGCAGGAAAGGCTGCATCCACAACAGCAAAAAGGGAAAGAACCCACTGCCTGCATCGTCTTTCCTGCACACACTTTGTAAAACGTCCAGATGTTGGCGGCACACACCCATCCTCTCAGCCATGTTCTCTTACACCCTCACATATGGGAGGATGATATCGGGAGAACACCCTCTTTTCAACATTCATCGCGAAATATTGTATGCGACATACATCTAGCGGGATGAGCGGTGAGCGGCGGTTCGAATTGGCGTATCATAAGCCATTGAACAATCCAGCCGTTGTGTGCGTTATGTGTGTGACTTGGGGGCTGGGGCGCACGCAGGGAGGAGAGGAAGCGGAAGCAGAAGAGGGAGAAAAAAACATCGAAATCAACAAAGAGGTCGGAGGCTGTCCAGATCCGCCGACGAGCGACGGGCGAGGGAAGAGATCCTCCCGCGGGGTAACAAAACAATGAAGCAGGGG